AAGTTTGTACGCGGAATCCGCAAATGTAAGCTGTTTCAGCAATTTGTGAGTGGATTCCGCAACTTTGATTCTTATTGGTATTGCATCTGAACAGTTAAAGTTTAGAGCTAGAATTTTTGTCTATAGCCATGCAGAATTGAAAAGCAAGGACTTAAGCCTTATCAGCGGAATTCACGGACAAATCTTAAAACATTGGTTAGCTTAAACGTTGTATGTCAATCTTTAGTATCATCCAAAACTTTCCTCAATTTCTTCAGTTTTTATGGATCATCGGAAACTTAATCACCGATTAAAATCATTATTTGAGATTAGTGGGTTAGTTGAGAGCGATTGATCACGAGCGCTGTCTTTGAGATAGGATGAGATTGAGTTCAAATCAGGAGAGAAGAAATTGAGATTAGAAGAGAGTGAATTCCCATCTATAAGGCAATATTTTAGTTAGATGAGAGTAAATTCAAATCAGATGAATTCTGACTTTCAAAACTGATGAATTGAAACTTTGGTTCTAAACTGACTGGCTATTGAACGTATGTATTGTGTATCGTACTATTGATTCCACCAACTGATGGCAACTAGTAGCTGATTAACCTAGTAATTGAGATTGAACTTGCTGGTGACCACCTAGTAAATAAAAGATATAATTCAAAACGCTTCCACTTATATACATATATTTAAATGGAGTCTGCAAACAAATGCGGATTTGCATTACAATTTGCGGATTCCGATTACAATTTGCGTATTTCACTCCGAATTTGCGGATTTCGCCATAAATTGAGGATTTCGCAACAGGTCATTTTGATTAAACACATATCTTATTATTTGCTCGTGGATTCCACAAACTGTACTTCCAATTGCCTGCTTCTGAAGAGATTTTGAGTGGTACAGTGTTTTAAGTATTTGTTTGTGGACTCCAAAACAGCAAAGAAGATGAAAGAAAAGTAGCAATGTTGAGGATTTGCAACAAATATGACTTTGGCCTGATGCGGAAACCGCTTACAATGCACGGAATGCACTGTTTGGCATAGTAATGTTAAAATTGATGAATTCGCATAAAATTGTTGTGCGTTTACTATAGCCGTCTGAAAATGAGATAGGCCTTGATTTCAAATTTCACCGTTAAACGCTTGATTGTTTTGTTTGGCTAAACATGAGGCTGAATGTGAATAAAATGTTCAAAAAAATGACCATTTTTTGTTTGCATTTCAAAGCAAAATGGGTCATTTTATCTGGCAAAATTTGTGTACAAGAAATTTTAAGCTGTACCCGATTTCTCAAAAACATAGGTTTTCCAAATGAGTAATACCAATAATCTCAAAACATGAGAGTGCGGCAAAGTAAATTGTTATAAAAAAAATTATTTTAAGTTGAAATGAGATGCGCATAAGTTGAGGATGGTTCAAGACTTACCCCTGAAACAGTGTTGCTGCCTTGTTACTTCCTCAAAACCTCAGACTCAATCATTTCAGAGTAAATTTTTCAATTAAAAAATTTACAGAGCCACTACAAAATCAAGTTTCTGAGGCCTTGTTTATAATTTTGTTTATGATTTTTAAAATTGTGTCAGGGCATTGTACACAAACTTTTATTGAGTACAATTTTATTGAACTTTTAATTTATATCTGAAATACTTGTGATTCAAAAAATCATTCAGTACTTATGCCAAACCCAATCTGTCATTTAGACCCAGAGGTGGTTCTAAAAATAGCATAAGAAACAAGCGAATATCAATTTTTATTGATGTTTTTTTTTACAAAAAAGAGCTTATCAGACGTTCATCTAAAAATAACATATATTTAATTCCAAATGAAGACGTTATAAATATTGCAAGGTTTGTCGGCCAAAATTGGATTCAAATAAATAGGGGAAACCTCCGGGGTTGACGTTCAAAAAAGAAAAGTGCCTCTAATACATTTTCATATTCGGAGTATATGAAACAAATGCTTAAATTATACTTATCACAGAAATAAGTTATTTGATAATCTTTTTCCAATAAATTTTTAAAAATTATGCCAAACCAATTCAGTTTTTCAACCAACAAGTCCAACGTATTTTTGTATACAAACAAGCAAGGTTTTTCTTTTCATATGCTAAGATTCACCTTTATCTTTAAAAAGAAAAACAGGCAACTTTTTTCACACACTGAATTTTTTATAGTAAAAATTTTGCTATCATGTAGAAAAATAACGTTTTGGTAAAAAATCTGTATGAAAATCCAAAATTAATTTACATTGAAAATATCACCAAGAGCAGTTTATCTGCTTGGCAACTGTCCTTTACACTCTAGTTTTTTTATGTTAGATGATCCTTGATCAGTGTTTTTGGACTAACACAAAGTTTTTCGAAACCAAAATTTTTTGTGCATTTTTATTTATAGAAAAATGGTTAACTTACAATTTCATAGAGTGCGTGCGAAAATATGTGTATCATGCAATGCAATTTAATAATAAAAAAACTGAGTATGTCTTTTTCATTAACGTTTTGTGATAAAAAGCTTGGGAACAATTGATTTGCTTCCATAGAGTCGTATTATAAGCCTCATTTTATCGAAAAATGCTGAATTTGCTCATTTCATAGTATTTTTCAGTCTATGAAATTGTAACAAATTGTATGACAAGCATTTTTTTTCGTTTTATGAAATCGTATTTTTCAACCCGGTCTTTTGCATAACGTGTACGCCAAGAGGAAAAGTTTTTGCCGCCCAGCGTTAATAAAATGCTAAACTAATGCTGATTCAAAAAAAAACTTAATAATATACAATGTGAATTAAAATTGTTTACAAAACCAGCAATTTTAATTTTTATGAACAGGTTTTTTGCAATATTTCAAGATCCTTCCGTTCAATTGTTGGATAGAGTGCAAGAAGTTACAGTTACAATGAAATCAGTGCTTTGCTTTAAAAATTCATTTCAAATTGTTTTGAGAATTTAATTCATTCCTTGCACAAGTGATATAACTTAGTGCAGTCTTGCTGCACTATATTCTCATTGTGAAAAGAACAGAAACTCAACTGTTTTTGAACAATCTCTTATTTGATTCTAAGGCTAACACAAACCATTATACATTTAATTTAACCAGACTGATCGTATGAAAGCGAAGCCCTGAAAAAGGACTGCGAAGCCATGAATGTTCCGACTGCCTTTTAAGGTCTATGGAGCAATAAAAACGTAAGAAAATTAAATGTAATAAAATAAAATTTGAAACTTTTTTGTGAAAGTCATTCCCCCAAACAGCATATAAAATACATAGTGATAGATTTTGCTCCTATTAACAAATCATTTATGGCATATAATCTTCCTTGAACCAAATTGGAACGATTTCTAAGACGCATTAAATCTCGCTTACGCGTTAATAGCACGAAATATTAATACGCGTTAATAGCCAAATTGGCCAAAATGGCAGCCTGCAAAACCCCATAACTTTAGTAAAAATAATCACAGGTGAAACATCTTTTCAAATTTAAGCTCAAGACAACAATTGCTTTCGAATGGTCTAAAAAATCAGTCAAAAATGGCTAGTTAAAAAGTCGAAATTTGTCTGAAAACAAAACCCATCCCGAGCACAAATATGCTGCTACTTTCGTTACGAAAGTCGGAAAAACAAGGAAGAATGGTTGTTGTGCCAACATCACATAAGTAATGACCTTAAAAAAGTTTTTTTTATCAAGTTGCGTCATTTTTATTCGTGGTGTGATAAGGGGATCTAAACGAAAGTCAAGAACTTCATTAAAAGTGATATATAAGATACAATTGGCTTATAAAGCTAAGTTTACCCAAAGTTTCACGGCCTAAGTGGAACTTTCATTCGATTATTATTAGCTAATTATAAATTTATTGTTCCGACTCTCGATACAAAAGTAACGGAATATTTGTGCTCGGGTGGGTTTTTTTTTCTTCAGACAAATTTCGACTTTTTAACTAGCCATTTTTGACGGAATTTTATTATATCATTCGAAAGCTATCGTTGTCCTGAGCTTAAATTTAAAAAAATATTTCACCTGTGATTATTTTTCGTAAGTTACGAGGGTTTAAAGATTGCCATTTTGGCCATTTTTACCAATTTGGGACAATTAACGCGCGATATATTTCGCCCTATTAACGCGTAAGCGCAGAAATAATCCGTCTTAGAAATCGTTCCAAATTGGTTGAAAGAAGCTTATTTACCATATTTAATTTCATACAAGGAGCAATATCTATCCTTTTGAACTTTATATGGCGTGTGTGGGGATGGTTTTCATAAAATTTTTCAAATTTTAGAGTTTTTTTTTTTCATTTTGTTTTATTTCATTTATTTTTATAATGTTATTACTGCTCCATATACCTTAAAAGGCTTCGCCCTGATACGAGCAGTCTTGTTGTAGGTTTATTATATTTGTTTTATGAGCTCGAAATTAAACGAAATATCAAAAAATTCTAACCGATTTTTCCCGCACTTAGAATAATTTTGGAACTTTTTAATTTTTTTCGAATCGCAAATAAAAGGGCTTCAATCAAATATATAATTCGGCTAACTCTTTTTCTTTTTCTTTTCACCTCAGATGAGTATCATTTCAAGGTGCAAATGAGTGATTTTACAGTTTAATTAAAAAGACCAGATGATTTTGTTATGGCCTATTTATTCGATTGTCAGTTTTTATTACAATCGGACAAGGTGAACATCAATTTTATTTATAAAAATTTGCAGGTGTGGGCAAAGGAAAAAGAGTCACTCGACCTAGTCCGATTATTATTTATGCAAAACAAAAAACTAAAACAAGTCCGAATGCAAAATTCCTTCACATTTTCATAGGTCGGAACAGTTAGATTTAGAGGCGTTGCGCAATTTTTGTCAGAAGATACTACCAAATTTCACGATTCTTTGCCACTACCTCACCCACATTTAAAAATCAACTTTGAGAAACCATTTTAATGTTGTCCAAGTACAATGAAAAGTGGCATGATGAACAAAATAACAATGTGAACAGATTTGTTCTTCATACTTTAGATCGTAACATTTTTGAACACTAATAATGTAATGCGAGTAGTTACAGGTACTTAATAAAATCAATCGAAATAAACATTGTTATCACAACGTAGAAATAGAGACAAACTCGATCGACGAGTTGGGCAAAATACTTCCACAGAAACTCCATGTTTTCCTCACTTTCCAGCAATTGAACATTCTCGACGAGGGTGCGAAGCTTCAATTTTTCTGGGAAGTCAACATTTCGTGGAACTTTTATTTCGCTGTCTGCTGATTTGTTCTGTCCGTTAGCACTTTCGTCACCATTGTGCGTGATGGGGGTAATTCGTATACTTTCTCTTGCCAATTTAGACCAAATTGATTGGGTTCTAGGGCTGAAAATGGACAGTGAGTGATATCAGAAAATACATATAATAGATCTTAAAGGGTTTTATTTGAATGGTAGATAAGGTAATACAAGAAAAGAGAATCGTTGTCACCCTCCTAAATCTCCTAATTAGTAATCCACTTAAATTAGTAAACTTTGAGAAAAAAAAATTGAAAGTTTTTTTGAAATTATAGAAACGAAATAGTTGAGCCTTACCATTCGATTTTTTCTTTCTCTTCAGTCGCAACAGATGACGTGTCTTTAAACTCAAACTCCTCCCTTTGTTGATTATTATTTCCACCTTCACTTCTGACTTTTGCAATGTTTGCCCTTGACATTGAGTGAGCAGCCAGTCCAGGGAATGCCTTCTCCTCCGCACAGGGACTGAGTGCGAATATGTACATGTACTTGGAGGAAATGAGGGATCGGAGGCGTCTGCTCATTTTGTGCTTGCCTCTAGTGTAGTGGATATTGATCACTAAAATAGATTTTGTAGTTTCTGCACAAGTTCAAGCTTTCATCTCAGCAGGGGGCACATCTAGGATTTCCTCAAGGGGCTGTTTTTCTTTTTGTTAGGCTCACTAAACTGAATGTCCGACTCTATTTGGACCTTTGTTTTGTGTGCTGCACGCAAAATTTTGCAAATAAATAACAAGCCATATAAAAATCCCGCGAAAAAAAAGAAATCGAAACGCCATGAATAAAAAACAGACCAAAAACTTATTGAAAAAAAAATCAAAAATGTGCGCCCCTCAAAAATAGTTTGTATTGACGCCAAAACCGCCTTTAGAAAAACTTAAGGGTTGGTCGGCCGCAATTGGAACTGGTAGAAAATATAAAATATTGCCAAAGGGGGATCGAATCCCTGAGAAGGCCTAATTTTCCCCCCTGCATCTGAGTTAGCTTCATATCTTCAAACTCATTGATTTTTTTCTAACGGGGAAAAATGGCATTTGCGTTATTTGCTAGTATAATTGTAATTTTGCTAGTTAATACTATTTTTCGTTATTGAAAACTACTATATGCTTTGATAGATACTTTGACTATAGAATGTCTATTCACCCATAATGGCGAGAAGGGAGCTGAGTGCGGTTTGAATGACAGCCGCACAGACGAAGTAGCCCATGGAGGGGAAGTTGAGGGAGCTGGCGGGCAGGATGTCCGAAATGGACCCGAACGACACTATCTCCGCCAGCAGAATTGTGATTGAGAATGACACCTGGAAAAGTTAAATTGAACGAGATAGTTCTGGATTTCACTAGAGCCAGGGGCCTGTTTAGGGGGTATTGGGGGGAGGTTGGCTCCCCTAACCAACCAATTTGACCCCCTCATCAACCAAAAGGTCCCCCTTTGATATTATTTTATGACATCTATTATCGTCCGACCAACCTTTCAATTTTTTTTATGTCGCCTCTTGTTCCAATATCATCATTTATAGTAATTTTGAAGGGGAGCGCGAGCCTAAAAAACGCAATTTTTTGGTCAACATTTCCAAAACAAGCTCAAAAACTGCATTTTCGATTAAAAAAATTGAGTGCGGCGCAGTAAAATCGGTGTAGGCATAGGGTCTTTATATTGATTTAAAAAAATACTGCTTAGGAATTATACTGCTTGGAAAATCATTTTAGTCGACCTAGAAAAGTCGAAAAAATTGAAAATCCAACCCCTCCCCTCCCCCCCCCCCCCCCTCGACAAAATCCCAGATTCTATTTTAGAGAGAATTTTAATATTTTCTATTGCGAAAAAAGTAAATATTTAAATTTCCGGCAAGGAAAATTTTTAACGAACTGATAAGGCATATCAAATTTCGTGGATTTTTTACAAAGAAGTTTTTACAATTTTATATACACTTAAAATTAGCCACAAACAATATGATAAATTTTTATAATTTCATATTTTAAAACGTCTTGGTCGCAATATTGCTCAAAACTTACCTTTTCACCAGACTCGACAGGCAAAATGAATACAAACGATGACATATAATACAGCAACAGATTCGGCATCACAAATATGATCGCGTAGAACAGATGACGTCTTTCTAATCTCAATTCCACAGTTAGGACGTCGAAGCTGCGTATGTTTCTCATAGACCTCCCGGATGTGGTGATTTTGACGGGTCTGAGAAGTGTCCACTCATCGTGTTCTTTGTAGTGAGCAAGGTCTGCTTCTTTCATGTTCAAATAGGGATCCGTGGCTGAAAAGGCCAAGTTCAATAGGTTATCTGACAACAAAGCATGGTGTTATGTTTTGTTTTCAAAACACCTTGATCCAACCAAAATGTTAGCCCTGATATTATGAAACAATTTGAAAAATAAACTGAAAGCTGATGAAATTCAAGATCGCTTGTTAGTAAATACCCGAAGATGGGACAGCTTCTGCCACAAAATTTATTTTACTTACTTATTTTGACTAATTTTTAATAGTAATTTTTAAAGAGTTTTTTCTTTAGTTTCAGAATGCCTTGTACATCATAATTTATGTATCTCTTGGAAATATTGAATTTGAAACTAGATTATGAGAAACTTTTAAAGGCAAACTGCTGATAAAGAAGACCTTCAAGGCAAAAATCAAGAGTATTGGCGACAATCAATGTAAGAAAAACTCGAATTAAATCATAGAAATGAAATCATAATAATTCATTTGATTTAATGACTTTCCTTCATTATTTTTGAATTTTAAAAAAAACTAAACATTGGCAGCGAAAGACTCCGGGAGAAAATGTTCTTGTTGAACAAACACGCAGCATACAAAGAACTATAACCAGGGGCGGATCTAGGATTTTCTCGAGGGGGGGATTTTCAAAAAAATTTCGAAATTTTTGTCGACCTTTTTCCTTTTTTAGGTCGACCAAATTGATTTTTCGAGCTCTCCCTAAGCCGTTTTAGTCCCCGTTTTTGGACAAATTTTCTGCGCCGCAGGCAAAATTTTGAAAAAACAGTCCAAAAAAAGGCATTTTTAGGTACTTTTTGGAAAATTTTGACCAAAAAATCGCGTTTTTTTGGCGCGCGCTCCCCCCTTAAATTTAGTATATATTGACGCCGAAGGCGCCTTTAAAAAAACTTTTGGGTTGGTCGGCCAAAACTGGATTTCTTAAAAGTACCAAAGGGGTGGAGATTCTTTAGTAGATACAATAGGGGAGGAGATTGTTAAGTAAGTCCCACAATTGCACATCCAAACAAAAAAAACGTACGCTCAGACGCATAAAAAAGTTTGACAGGAGCAAACATGTGGCGCAACAGGAGGCGAACACTGACATGGATATTGCAAACAACAAAAATTGGAGAACACTCCTCAAAAGTTTTAATACCACTCATCATTTTTTGCCTGGAGATGCCTGAAATCGGTTTTAACAAGTTTCAGCTACAAATAACAGCAGCAACACTACCGGCATCAACAAAATGAAACCTACAACTAAATCAACATAGCCGACAGTCATCATTTTAGCCAAAAAGAATATGACAGAGTCAACATCAGCAGAGCCGGTTTTCAAACTAGGGCTATTTTTAATCTCCTTTTTCCAATTGCAACCATTGACATCGATTTCAAGCTTCACATGAACTTAGAAAAACCCGGGATCTTTTGGTGGAATCGGATAGGAACAAGTCGAATCGGTTGGAAGTCAGGGATACTTAGAAAAGAAGTTTGAATCAACTGAAATAACAATCACGTGCAACTAAGCTAAAAGACTAAATAATCAAAACTCAAGTTCTAGAAAGACTAAAAAAACCGTCTTAATAGAAAACAATTAAAGTAACCTATCAACGCCGTTCGTTTTCTACATAACCGCTATGGTGAAATCTTTTTTTTTCAAGTTTGATATTTTACCGGACCAAAGCGGAGTTCCATTTCAAATGAGTTTCAGCTCAGTTAAAATGATCAGCTTTTCAACAAAGGAAAAAAATTGTAAAATAGAATTTAACTTATTTCGTAGCTTAAGGTGGGAGGCTAAAAAAAGAGATGATCCAAAGGCGCAGTGGTTGGTAAATATTTGATCTTTTATAAAACTGTCTGCAATAGTTCTTTAAATAAAACTGATCTTCATAGAAATTTTTAAAAGTAGATGTACGATGTAACTAATTCATTAATTCATTAGACTAACCAATGACGTAGCTTCTATTATCCAGATTCCAGGGTCCAAATGTGAGATTACAGGCGTGGGTGTCGAAGGGGAAGTTGGTCACGTCAAACGAGCAGGACACTTTGATGGTCACAAATGAAGACCAGCAGGAGATGAGACCAGTGATGGGAAAGAGAGCCTGTCGATCGAACGCCTCGTACTGAATGTCCACTGCATCAAGAGCCACTGCAATAAATTCACTTGAAGTTTGGGTTATCAAATAACTTCTGAGAAAACGTTTTTCTTTCAACTTTTCTTTAATTTTTTTTCTATCTTTTCTAAAAAATTTTAGTTAATGCTCGTCATAAGTTTCCGAGTAACTGTAGAAAAAAGGGCCAATGATTTAAATTTGATCTCAATAGTACCTCTAATTTAGCTCAAATTTGGTTATTCAGCATACTTTTTTGCGTCATTATACTCAAAATCATTATATTTTTGGCGGGCGATTATTTATTAACAGCCTCCCCAGGTTGCTATAGACCATTATAGTGACAAATTGCTGCTGTAAGTTTGTCTACCTGCAAACTAGTACCTTCTAAATATATTGCATATTACACGAGATTCAAAAGTCTTATGAGAGTTCAATACTGATAATACTGATGAGAAAATGGCTATGATCTAATTTAACTGTGAAAGCGGATCTCTTTTTGACTACCCCCCTTTGGACTCTAGTAACGATTTGCCACCCTGTAATGAAATGACTCAAATGCGAACTTTGTACCTAGTAACAAACCCCCCTTGCTAAGAAGGGGGGTATTAAAAGATATCCCGCTTACCGATATCAGCAGTCCAGAAAGTGAGCGGAGGCACCAAAAGTGCCTGAATGTTCCCATACTCCGAAGGGTCCCATTTAGCCGAATCACTGTAGTAGTAATAGTATAGCCACAATTTAGCTGTCATAAGTCCGTTTTTCTCATCAACATCTAACAGTTGGTACAAATCCAGATAAATGAACACTGTTTTGTCTTTAAAATCAGCAGGTGGCGAGTATTGAGGAATTGATGATTTCAGTTTGTCAAGGAGGCGTGTTTCGGCATCGACGCCATTCGTCAAGTTAAACGCGCTGGCTATTTTTAAGTGGAAATGAAACAAAATGATAACGAATGATAAGTTTGGGTGCTGTAGCATTTTTGAACGATTCTAGAACAATTTTAGGTAACCAAAGAGAAGCGGATTTTTTAACAAAAAAATAAAAAATATTGAAAATCGAAGAAAAGTTGCCCAATCATACACTTCAAACCAAAAAATTGCGGAAGTTGTGACTACATAGTCACAATGAGTATCGAAAGAAAGCTTCCGCTTTTTAACCGGGCCATAAAAAATTATAAATTTATTTCTCTGACCAATGTGTAATCCATACTCTTTAATCGTCAGAACAATAAAAAAGTAATGCGATTTCAATGGTCATCAATATTCTTCAAAACATACTGTTAAAATCTTGACCAATGATTGTTCAAGTGCCAATTCGCTTCAAAAAGTTGCTTTCATTACAAACTTCACAAAATCTTGATGAAGGAGTTTTTTTGAAATTCGAAAGCTTTTAATTCTCGGTCTATTTAACCAAACAAAATAAATCAGAAAAACTCAACTGATTATTTAAGCCGAAAGAAATATACATTTTTCAAAGAAAAAATACAGTTTGGCCTGGTAATGGTTCGCATGCACAAAGCCCAGGATTTGGCATAAAATTATGACAAAATAGCGCAGGTTTTTGATGATGTTAGAGTTACTTATCATAGCTTTTTAAGAAGTGTTGTCGTACTAAAACTTTTGACTCCAACATGCAAAACGTCACTGAAAAAAAAACATATTATAAGTTTATTCAGGTAATTGTATTGTTTTTTTTTCATCCACAATCTTGTTAGTTTCCATTATTTAATATCCGCTTTTCATTTACAGAGCCAGATTGGTATCCGCTGATTAGAATTATTCAACAAAGGAATTTGTATTCCATATAAATGAGTTTTGATATAAGGTATAAACAACAATAAACAACGGCCTAACAAACTATCTGATTCTGCCAAAATTTGTAAATATATATTTTTTTGGTTTCCCAATTAAAAAGAAAACATCAAAGTGACTTGAAAATCTGATATGAAAGAGACTTGAAAGAAAGTTAACTTGAATGATATAGAACTTTTATGCAAATTAGGAATGATATGATACGGAACAGGCTATTGCTCGTGAAAGCAATAACCACCCCTAAAATTTGGGTCAACAAGAACACAAAAAAAGGTAGAGGTCTCAAAAATACGCGACGTACGATAATTTTGTACCAGAAATTTTTCTCTGAGATCCAATTCTAATAAGTAGTCCGATGATAAGGAAGTTGCTCTTTCTATCAGTGCTTAACTGAACACTATCAAAAAAGACAACTTTTGGGTAAATACACCAGTAAAAGAAACTAGTGATAACCTACTTGATTGAAACTTTCGTTACCTCAGGGGAAAAATTTGATTCGATGTTTCTAAGTAACACTTGTCTACGCACGCTATTTATTTACGCAAAACTGTAATCATAATGAAATAAAAATGTCATTAGATTAGACGACAGTCTTAACAAACAACTAGACTGCTTGCACCTTGATTGACTGCCCTGTAACCTCGATAAAAAAATCATTGAAAAAAAACAACGTCTGAAAATGAGCAAAAAATGATATTTTTCTTCATTTTTTTATTTTGTCCCTCATCAAACCGGAAAAAAATAGTAACGTGATAAAAAGAACAAATGGCTTGCCTCAGCTCAATTTGCCGCTGATGCTCTAATAAGACGAGATATAACGGTTCAAACTCTTCAACTGTTCTATCTTGTAAGTCGTTTTATTTTCTTCAGTTCATCAACAATTTCAGTACCATGTGAAAAATCGAAACTTGCGAGCGCGCACCTGAGGTATGCGTGAATAAAATTACTCTAAAACTTCGACAAGTGGGCATTTGGTGCGGTCGGCCCTAACCAACAGTTCAGCGGTACTACAAAATAAAACGCTGAAAATGTATCTCTTCAAAACATGAAACGGAAGAAAAACAACAACCTTTAGTTAGGTTTTGAAACTTTTTTAAATTTCCAATTGTGAATGGAGGAGGCGGCATTGTTGATAATATTGAGGTGTTTGCGTTGAGTACCAATGTTCCAATTGCGCTGTTGGTTGTAGATATACTTTTTCAATGGAGTTAGTTTCAAACAATCAGATTTAAACGTTATAATTCGATGTTTGAAATAGCGAAAAATTCAGTCAGTTTTTATAACAAAAAACCCAATTCTATTAGAAGAAATAGAACTACATCCTCTAACTCTTTGGAGAGAACTCTACGGTTGTATAATAATCTGTATGTATTAGCGAAAATGGGGAAATTCAAAAGTGCCGAAAAAAAAGAGTGCCAAGAATGCAAAAAACTTTTCAGGTTACCAAAAATGAACCAATTCTGTAATAAAATAGCTACTTAATATCGTTTGGAGAATAGAATCGGATGATAATGTTTTCAGTTAATGTAATAATTTTTTATTAAAAAATAAGGACGTCATACTAGAGGAGGGAGTATTTGTATATTATTTGTTTTAATTGTTGTCAGAAGCAAAAAACAGACTTTTTTCTGTCTTTCTGTGCTGTTGTTTCAACTTCTAAGCGTTATTTTTCCCAGTCCTATAAAGTTTTGGCAATCTTGAACACGTTTTTCGACACTTGTATTTTGCAAATCTTGTACACAATAATTTGCTTGAGCAACTGTAAAAGATGTGAGATTAGGAAAATAGACAAAATTGGGGGCTCAAGGCTAAGGATTTCAAGTTCCTACACAAACGTTCGATTTATTTACAATTAAGATTTGGTTTATTTAAAATCTTTCTTTTTCAGAAAAATTTTGACGATCAAAAACAGTTATCAACAGAATTGTTTGTGCCGAAGTCACAGAAATTTGAGTGCTAAAATTTATTTTCAAACCAGCAAAACTCTACAAGGACAACAAAAATAACAATTAAAAACTGAGCCACTGGAAAAATAAATTGAGAAAAAAATCACTAATTGCTTACGAAATCAATCAAAAACACTTGCAGTACTTCCCCTATTCTGACCAATTTTCTTAAGTAAACAAAACTTACAGTTAATAAAAACAATGTTTAATAATTTATGGATGTCCATAAAAAACTAATACAAACTATAACATTTAACGTTAACGTTAAGTTGATACTTAACCATGATACTTAGTCATACGTACATATGTAAGATAACCATATAGATGTCTGATTTAATTAAGTACCTATTAAAACTAATGCCATAATCAATAGCTATTTATGAGTCTCTCTCTCTCTCTCTTGATTTCGAGGTCAGATTCGAATCAGACCTAACTTTACCAATTGAATTAATTTTGTTAGCAGATTCTTCTTAACTCTATTAACCATAGCTTATGTCTCAGATCTCCACTGGTTATTGCGCCGTTCTGACAGAAAACCTCAGCGGAACCCCCAATCGAGTGGGAAAGATGGAATCAACCATTTTTCCTGGGAACCGTCACAAAAGACGGTATTATTCTACAAAAACTACCACCAGACCCACCTCTAGTTTGAAAACCATAAGAGTCTGGTTACGAACTCCAAATAGAGGGGGAAATTCAATCTAAGGTTAGAGATAGAGGTATCCGCAATCATGAAATAGAATCCAGTGGGAAAATCAGAGTATTCAACTCGATAATTTAGGACCCACCGTGGACAGGATACTGTGGAAAGAAACCAATATCAAGGTTCGAAGCTACATCTATCTCAGCCTAGGAAACGAGGGCCAAAGAAGCCTATGCCAACACTATCCGGACCTAAAAATCATGGAAACTACCACAAAAGACTTTTGGACAAGACTACAACATCTATTCATCAAGGACCGCAAGGTAACTTTTGACAGGTATGAGGCATTCACAAGAAAACAAACCAAAACAGAAACTCTGGAAGAATTCCACTGTGCCCTCACGGATATTGTGGTACAAGGGAATTTTATATGTCCAAACTGCAACGATAAGGGTCTAGAAACAGAAATAAAGAGGGACACTTGTATTTTGCAAATCTTGTACACAATAATTTGCTTGAGCAACTGTAAAAGATGTGAGATTAGGAAAATAGACAAAATTGGGGGCTCAAGGCTAAGGATTTCAAGTTCCTACACAAACGTTCGATTTATTTACAATTAAGATTTGGTTTATTTAAAATCTTTCTTTTTCAGAAAAATTTTGACGATCAAAAACAGTTATCAACAGAATTGTTTGTGCCGAAGTCACAGAAATTTGAGTGCTAAAATTTATTTTCAAACCAGCAAAACTCTACAAGGACAACAAAAATAACAATTAAAAACTGAGCCACTGGAAAAATAAATTGAGAAAAAAATCACTAATTGCTTACGAAATCAATCAAAAACACTTGCAGTACTTCCCCTATTCTGACCAATTTTCTTAAGTAAACAAAACTTACAATTAATAAAAACAATGTTTAATAATTTATGGATGTCCATAAAAAACTAATACAAACTATAACATTTAACGTTAACGTTAAGTTGATACTTAACCATGATACTTAGTCATACGTACATATGTAAGATAACCATATATATGTCTGATTTAATTAAGTACCTATTAAAACTAATGCCATAATCAATAGCTATTTATGAGTCTCTCTCTCTCTCTTGATTTCGAGGTCAGATTCGAATCAGACCTAACTTTACCAATTGAATTAAATTTGTTAGCAGATTCTTCTTAACTCTATTAACCATAGCTTATGTCTCAGATCTCCACTGGTTATCGCGCCGTTCTGACAGAAAACCTCAGCGGAACCCCCAATCGAGTGGGAAAGATGGAATCAACCATTTTTCCTGGGAACCGTCGCAAAAGACGGTATTATTCTACAAAAACTACCACTAGACCCACCTCTAGTTTGAAAACCATAAGAGTCTGGTTACGAACTCCAAATAGAGGGGGAAATTCAATCTAAGGTTAGAGATAGAGGTATCCGCAATCATGAAATAGAATCCAGTGGGAAAATCAGAGTATTCAACTCGATAATTTAGGACCCACCGTGGACAGGATACTGTGGAAAGAAGCCAATATCAGGGTTCGAAGCTACATCTATCTCAGCCTAGGAAACGAGGGCCAAAG